GAAGAAGAAGAAGAAAAGGAGGAGGAGGAGGAGGTGTGTTTGTGCATCAGAACACTGGTAAGAACAGCCACAATCCACTCTCTTCATTTGCTGTGGATGGAAGTACTAATGCAAATGCACACAGTCCCCCTTTATGTAGCAAAGAGGAAGTGGTGGAGACTGGCAAAGTTCACGAGAGACCAAGAATATGTTCTTCAGCTATGGAAACGCCTGTTGGAGCTGGCAACATGTGACTTAGCATGCCAGCCATACTCTGGTGATGGAAATTAAACTGACTTGGCATTGAAAGAAAAAAACCTTGTGAATAATGGAGACATTTCAATAGGAAAAACATACCCTGTAGGTCACACAAAGAAGGACCCAGTGAATTTTATCTAAATGTCCAAATTTATCTAAATTTTATCTAAATGTACCACTTTGGCCAGTTTGAAAAACTGCCCACCAGGAAAGGCACGGAAGGATTCCCGAGAAACTAGCTGACTTGTAAGAAACAGCTGTGGTTTTGAAAATGTTTGGATCTGAGACTATGATAACACCTCGGGCACCTACCAGAACCTTCCCCCACCCCAGATTTTACTGGTGTGTCTGATCAGCTGCATCAGAAGACCCCAAGGAGAGTCTTAAGGAACACGGCAAAGGGACACAACCACTGAGAATCCAAATGGAAACAAACGGGCATCAAACAAAGAGTTTTGGGTTTTGTAAGGCTGGTGCTTGGTTGACATCCATTGCAATTCTGCATCATTCTATTCTTTCTTACTCGACTGGTCTGTCTTAGGCATCCCGCCTGGAATGGCTGGGTCCTCTTTCCAGCCATGGGGTTTCCCAGCTGCCATTTTGAAATCCCTCTGGGGATTCTTGCATGAATCTGCCCCAAAGAGCCATTTTGGCCCCCAACTTACGAAGTTCTTGCAAAGTTTGTTGGGCATGGAGAACTAATCAAGAGCCCCACACAGACGGTCCTGGATGGCTTCAATCGTTCTAGGAAGCTCTTCTGGCTGATACACATACACACAACACACACACACACACACACACATACACACAGAGTTCTCTTTTCTGCCCAACTCCTTTGGTCACCACACTGTAAAAACGATGTTGAGGCTCTAGAAAGAGTGCAGAGAAGAGCAACCAAGATGATGAGGACTGGAGACTAAAACATACAATAAATGGTCACAGGAACTGGGCCTGGTTAGTCTGGTGAAGAGAAGGACCAGGGGAGACAGGATAGCAGTCTTCCAATATTTGAGGGGCTGCCACAGAGAGGAGGAGGGGGTCAAGTTATTTTCCAAAGCACCTGAAGGCCAGACAAGGAATAATGGATGGAAACTGATCAAGGAGAGATTCAACCTGGAAATGATATGCACTGAAGATGGTGTTTGTTTTCGTTGTACGAGGTGCAATGACAATAAAGTAAACTGAACTAAAAATAAAGAGAAACTTTCTGACAGTGAGAACAATCAACCAATGGAACAGAAGTTGCCTTTGGAAGTTGTGGGTGCGCTATCACTTGAGGCTTTCAAGAAGAGACTGGACTGCCATCTGTCAGAAATGGTGTAGGGTTTCCTGCTTGGGCGGGGGGGGGGGTTGGACTAGATGATCTACAAGGTCCCTTCCAACTCTTAATCTAGAAGTAAGGTATGAGAACTGCTGCAGGAGGACTCACGACAGTTGGTCTGCTCAAGAACCAACCTGGTTTTTTGTGGCAGCTGCATGGTTCCTCCCACAGATATGCACCAAAGCATGCCGAAAACCAGGGGGGCACTTTCCCAAATCCCCACCACTCTAATCAGACTCTCCCCCTGTGGAAAATCTTGCCCTGTGAGATTTGGCGTGTCCTGTCAAACATCCTTTTCCTGCAGGCCTTTTGCCAGTCACATGTGGAAGTGTCTTTGGTGCCCTCAGGTGGCCAAAGCCACCAAGGGAACCAGAGATGCCTCTTGCCTGCATGCCGGCTTCAGTTTGCACATTGGCAGAGCCAGAACGGGCGCCCGGAACAGGCGTGAAGGGCATGCAAGCGCCTGAGGCCTTGAATGCAGAAAAGCTTACTTACAGTTGGAAGGGGCTTTGTAGGGCATCTAGTGCCACCCCCCCCCCCGCCCCAAGCAGCCCCCCCCATACCAGGGGTCCTCAAACTTGGCAAGTTTAAGACTTGTGGACTCCAACTCCCAGAATTCTTGAGCTAACATGGACTGGAGAGGAATTCTGGGAGTTGAAGTCCACAAGACTTAAAGCTGTCAAGTTTGAAGGCCCCTGATCGATCTATCTATCTTATCTCTGTCTGTCTGTCTGTCTGTCTGTCTGTCTGTCTGTCTGTCTGTCTGTCGGTCGTCCATCCATCCATCCACTTCTGTCTGTCTGTCTGTCTGTCTATCTATCTATCTATCTATCTATCTATCTATCTATCTATCTATCATCTATCTATCTATCTATCTATCTATCCATCCATCTATCCATCCATCCATCCATCCATCCATCCATCCATCCATCCATCCATCCATCCATCATCTATCACAAGGGTCCTCAAACTTGGCCAGTTTAAGACTTGTGGGCTTCAACTCCCAGAATTCCTGAGCTAACATGGACTGGAGGAGGAATTCTGGGAGTTGAAGTCCACCAGTCTTAAACTTGCCAAGTTTGGAGACCTCTGCGCACACACCATTTCTGCTGTGGAAGACAGACAGGGGCCTCCCCATCCAAACGCCAGGATGCGGGTATAACTCAATGAAATGTCATGAGAGTCAAACTGAAGGTTTTCCCTTCTTACAGCGGACTCTTCCTTTTGGGGACTCTGGACCTGAGGCCCCCTCTTGAAGGGGGCTTCAGCCGAGACCGATTCTCAGGGAAGCTGCCCTTCAGACACAGCTGAAAGTGGCCCAAGGAAACACAGATATACACAATTAAGCATCTCACTGTTTATAAAAGACAAGGGATTTTGCAGGTCAGGATTCCTGCTTCCATTTCAGTTTCAAATCCCCCGTTTATTTTCAAGGCATCCTCGGAGGGATCCAGTGATCCAAGAGGTTGGGGGTGCCCACATGGTCAACACACATGAAACGGAGGCGGAATTTCGGCCACACAACTGCAGCATCTCTGGATGGATGTTTTGACGCACCCTCCCGTGAGCGACCTTGCTCCTCCTAGCCCAAGAACCACCCATCCCAGCCTGACCCACTGATCATTCTCCCCACAGCAGGCATGTCTCTCGCCAGAGTTCTGGAGCCTATTCTGGAATTTAAAGAACGACAAACACATATCACAACCCTATGGAACAGCGCATCAACCGCAAGGAAGGTACCAAACTGAATGGCGGTTTAAGCTTTCCACATACAAAATTCGACTCCGATTATTTTTGTTCTGATCGATAATTTAAATGTTGGTAGGATTAAAGTACTCTGTATTGTTTTCTTTAATGAACTCAGAATTCTCACTGGAGGCACAAATGACCAGGCTCAAATGACTCTACTTCAGGGGTGGGTGAGATTCTACCGGTATAAAAACTGGTTGGGTGATCGCACGCACGCTCCGTGTTTTAAAAAGCTCTAATACAGTGGTGGCAAACCTTTTTGTTGTGGTGTGCTGAAGGCTCTGTGCGCCAGCACCCACAATGCAATGCACCCCGTGCCCCTGTGCATGCACACACAACATCCCAGCCCCATGTGCACACCTCCTAGTTGATTTTCGGCCCATTTGAGGCCGCTTTCGCTTTCCTGGAGGCTCGAGGGAAGCCTCTGGAACCTCTGGAGCCTGAAAACGGGCCCATTTTGGCACTTCCTGTATTTCCAGAAGGCCCATTTTTCGCCCTTCCGAGGCTCCAGAGGCTTCCCTCGAGCCTCCGTGA